GCGAGCATTTCACAAGAGGGGAAAAATAATGACATCGGCCTGGGGAACCGCAGTGGCTGAGGAGCACCTGGGCCGTCCTGTGCGAGCATTTCACAAGAGGGGAAAAATAATGACATGGGCCTGGGGAACCGCAGTGGCCGAGGAGCACCTGGGCCGTCCTGTGCCCGGGCGTTTGCACGTGGCCTCCGCCCCGGCCCGGCCCCTCGGCGTCTCAGGTGGGTCGGTTTCCTGCCGCGCATTCCGACGAACGGAGCGGAGTGAAGTCGTTTACCCCCGACACCCGGCCACGCTGACCCTCACTCGGCCACCTTCACGAGAGTGTGGCACAGGCCTGCCAACCTGCCCGCAGCCCCGCCTGCCCCGGCCCTGACTGTCCACAAGGCCACACCTGCGAGACGCAGGCACGGGCCGGCCGCCGGAAACCTGAGCGTCCGCCCGCAGCGGCCCCCTGCCGAGGACAGTCCCAGCTCACGGGAGCAGGAGGCACCGTGACCTGAGGACACCTCGCATGCTGCGGGAAGGCGCACCTCTGTCCCCACCATCACCCGCAGCTGCTTACCCGGCGTCTGCAGACACGGTCACATGGACCACCCCTGGGGAGGAGTGACCACCACCCGTACCCCACTTATGCCGAGGGTGCCCACGGTGATGCCCCCACTTCCTTCCCCGGTTCTCTGCCTCCCCTCCCAGCTGTTTCCAGCCACCAGCCTCCGCACTGGACCGCAGTCAGCGCACTCGATGGCGTGTGCCAAGGTCAGTGACCTCATCCCTGCCAGCGGGACCCGAGGAGTGGCCCCCGACGAGTGGCCGTTGTCCCGGGGGTGCAGCTGCCCCACGCCTGTCGGTTTCTTGTCTACAGAGCATGACGACAGTGTCTTCGGGAAGGCGGGAGGAGATGATGAAATGTGCGTGGCATGCCCGGCGCGGCACCTGGCACATGGCGAGTCACAGTGAGACCTGACTCCTCGTAGCCGTCGTCACCGTGAAACCACCGAAGTCGCGAGTGTCCGGGCCCGGCTCCTCGGGGAAGTCCCTTCCTGACTGGCCCCAGCCCCACCCCGCCCTCCCTGCCGGCTCCCCATGCAGGACCACGTGCTGTCCTCCCGTCTCGCTCCAGACCCAGCATCGGTCCTCCGGGTCTCTGCATCCCCTGCCCTCACCCAGAGCTCTCCGTGCCATCAGCCCGGCCAACGCCACCTTCACGGCGGCCTCGCCGATGGCCTGCCCGTCTCCTGGGCCAATCCCGCCCTGTCTGTCCAGGACCCTCGACATCGGGGCGTTCCACAGCCCCTCGGACCCCCACCTGCCCCAATCGCAGTCCTTTATGACCTCCGACATCTCCAGGCTTCACGGACTTAGATGCTGCTCGTGTCCAAATGTGTCGCCAGGTCCGACCTCACTCCCTTTTCCACTGCTGGATAGCAAGTGGACATCTCGACGGGGACAAAATGGACTCCTGGTCGCCCCCTGACCTGTGCCCTCTGCGCATCCTCCCCCAGCCCGAACTTGCTCATGCCTGAAACGCGCCCCATCTGACCCTGTGGTAAAAACCCTGCTGGCTCTGCCTTCAGCACATGTGCAGAATCTGTCCCTTCTTGGCGCCCTGCCATCGTGAACCCTGGTCAGAGCCACCATCCACCCCCATCTGGGTCACAGCGATGGCTCCTCACCGGCCTGCCAGCTTCGAGCCTCAGTCACACCATGTCCCCGCCTGCCCCACACCCAGCGAAGGCTCCATATTTCCCTCGTGCAGTAAAACTCTAAGTCCTTAGATGCCACTAAATAGCCGGACCCCTCCCGTCTGACCCCACCCTCTCCCCCTCACCCCTCGCCTTCCCTGTTCCTTGCTGTCCCCACGCCCCTCCAGGAGGCAGCCTCCTGTTCTGCCTTGGCTGCTCCCTGTGCCTGGGAGCTGTCTCACCACAGGCCCTTGCTCAGCAACCCCAGCTCCTTCCCAGTGGTGGCCGCTCCGGGCCAGCCGGGGTGACACGGGCCCCAGAATGCTGTCTTGGGACCTCTACACCCGGGCCTGAGGAAGGGGGAATAAAAACCCACTTAGCTGAGTGTCTCCACCTGGGAAGAGAAGGCACTGTGCTAACCTCAGAGATCAGGTCACTTGTCCCAGGTTGCCAGGCTGATAAGCAACTGAGCCTTAAAACCCTGTCTGCC